CAGAGTTCCCATATGCCCCACACCCAGTTTTCCCTAATAATTTGACATATTAGTATGTGTCTTGACTGAGGGTTTCAGCCCCAGGCAAGTTCACTATGGATTCAGTGAGATTGAGAAATGACAACAGAATGTTCTTGGGATAAAAGGGTTTATACCCAGCTTTATTCTCACAGCAGTAGGTCAAGCACTAGGAGCATATCTGCATCCAGCAGTCTGCAGATCCGTAATCCACCTCCATCTCTGCCTCCGCCCAGAGCACTGAGCAGAGCTCTTTATATAGTGACTCAGTCAATAATAGCTGATTGCCTATGGGTGTGGAAGCAGTAGGCTAGCAGTAGGCCAATTATATCAAGTAGTTTAGGGTCAGGTGAGGATCCTGGCCATAGGAACTTCCATTTTCCCACAGTATGTACTCGTCACAATTTATGAAATATGTTGATACATTATTATTAACTAAAGTCTTTACTGTGTTCAGATTTCCTTTGTTTTTCCCTAATGGCCCCTTTCTTTTCCAGCATCCTGTCGAAGTTGTACAGTGACTGAAATTAGTGCACAGTTTTCAGAAAAGTGTACACCAAGTCAGTCTTTTCAGCCCTTCAGCTCCTGCAGAAACTTCCAAGATGCCCCAGGGTGAGAAGGCATGGATGCCTACAGAATATGCCTTCTTCCCATCCTAACAGTCCACTGCAGCCTGGAGACTGAGGCTTGATGCCTCTGTTGGGAGGCCCTTTCTGTACAGCAGGGGTCCTTGGGGTTCAGGTCCATGACCTCTCCTCCCCTCCCCTCTCAGCCCCAGTGATGGGAGGAAGGGGTACTAAGGCTCCAGTGCCCTGGGGTCCACTGTTCTAAAAGACCTCATTTTTGCTCACATATTTACCTCCTCTCTAGCTCTAGAGAAGAAGCCTGATTGGTCTAAGGCAGTGGATCTCAAACTTTAGCTTTCAATAGACTCAACTAGCAAGCTTGTTAAAACACAACACAGGGCCCCACCCCAAGAGCTTCTTATTCAGTGAGTCTCAGTGGGTCCCAATAATCTGCGTTTCTGACAGGTTCCCAGGAGCTGCTTCTGCTGGTCTAGAGTCACACTTTGAGATCCACTTTTCTGAGCCAACTAATTCTTGGCTTTACCCTGGTGACTGTTAGTCCAGGGGTGGGCAAGTGACCTAAACCAGCCTAATCCAGTGGCTCTCCACCCCAGCTATACATTAGAATCACATGGGAGCTTCTAAAGACTACTTTTAGCTGGGGTCCACCCTAGACTAATTAATATTTCTAGCAATAAGGCCTGGGTATCCACAGTTTAAAAAATAAAGTAGCAAATAAATGAACAATACACCATCATAAATAAACAAAAAATTAATATAAGGAAAATGAAATAACAGCAATAAATAAGTAATTAATAAAGCACTCCTAGAGATTTTAATGTTAGCGGCAATATTGAGAACCACTGGTCTGCTTGAACTGAGGATTTGTATTGAAGGGAGAGGTCTATTTTTCCTTCCCGCTGATCATGAAGAAAGGAAGCAGGCATCTCTGTGGCCTCTGGCAGCCATCTGGGTCACCATGAAGGCAGCCAGTCTCAGGATGAAGATAGCACCAAGGAAGGCAGCACAGAGTACTGGAAGAACTTGGGACCTTGGTGACATCACTGAGTGGATTATCTGACTTTTCTGGGAGCCTATCCTACTTCTGGACTTCCAGTTATGTGAGATAATACAGTTCCTCATTTTTAAGCCAATTTAAGTTACAGTTTTCAGCTACTATGGCCAAAATCATTCTGATAACACTAGAAAAATGGTTACCCTGTAGCCATAATAAATAGCGCCTACACTGAAAGACACATTCTCTTGGTGTCTCACCCTCTGCACAATCCAGATGGCCAGCTTCCCTGTTTGTAGGCTGACTCCACGAGGCCCAGACAGACAGGAGAGCAGGGCAGCTCCAGTGGAGCCTGTAGCTAGAGCTCTTCTCCAGTCCCAGACTGCATGTTTGCAGCTCTGAATTCTGAGTGTTTTCTTCTCCCCAACCAAGGCAATGAACAGGATAAGAAAAGACCCAGCATTTTACATTATGCTTAAAATAATTACTTTCTCTTTCTACCTAAGCAAATAATCTCAGAACAATCGAATTGGAGGTTACGATTGTATTCATGAACTGTTTCCTTACATTGCAAACTGATTTTCAGGTAACAATTCTTTTTTATATTAATAATAGGAAAATGTTGGTAGAACATAAATATCCAACACTGGAAACTATTGGGAACAAAGTAAATGTCAAGCAAATGTTTCTTCTATAAATTTAGTACAGTAGGTTACAATACAATAAATGTAGAGTGCTTTTTTGGAAACAGAGACACCAAGATTATATTAATGATTGTTCCTGAGTAAGTGGGAATATGAAAGTTTTTTATGTTCTATTGTTTGTGTTTTCTAATTTTTTTCTAATGGGCATATATTGTTTTTGTAAAAAGAAAGAAATATCTATTTTTAAAGAATATGGGATTGTTTTCCCTACCTCAAACAAATCTTTGATTCTTCCATGTGCTGGTCATTGGCTTGTTGGTACTAAGTACAATTCCCTGCATTCTGTGCACTGCTCTGTAGGAGGTGGCTGGAGTCCTGTGAGCTGCCATTTCCCAGACTCCCTTGCCAGCTGGCCCAAGTTAGATGCTGCCAGTGGGAAGCACTAGTGGGAAACTGGATGAAATGAGGGGAAAGCCCCACCCCTGCCACCCCTTTAAAGCTTCTGGCAATGACTGTGGCAATAACCAGCAGCTGTGGGCTCCACTAGCCTTCCCCAGTTCCAGCAACAGCCTCCGTGGTTGGAGCACTGGCCAGTTCCAACAGCACCAGCAGGTTCCCACAGTGTCAGGTGCCAGACACTCCTGGCCTCTGATAACCTCAGCACCTCCCTTTTTTCCTCCAGCCTTAGGAGTGGTCCTGACTTCCTGCAGATGCTTATCTCTAGGTTACCACACCTTCCCTTTTTTGTTCCTCTAACCTTTCCAACATTTTGTAACTAATTTCATACGTTAAATTCCCTCAGTATGAAATACCTAGAATGATTTCTGTTTTTCCAATTGGACACTGACTGATATGCCTGAATGATCTCAGTTTCTACATCAAATTCACAAACAACTCCTCGTAATTCTACTGCCAAATTCTAATTCCAGCCTCTCCTCATCTCCCTATCTCCACTGCCACCACCAGTCGGCCCCCATCATCTCTGCATGGATTCCTGCAACAGCCTTTCCTCAGGCTGTTTTTTTTTTTAACACTTTACACTTGCCCCACATCAATTCATTATCTATACAGAAGTGAGAGCAATCTTCCTTCGATATATATAAGATGGCATCACTTTCCTCTGTGAAACCCTTGCACTTGAAATAAAATCCAAACTCATCAACATGGCCTGTGAAGCCCCAGGGAGCAGCTCATCCTGGTGCTTCATCTTCCTCACTCACTGTGATCCAGTCACAGCACTCTCCCATCAGTTCTTGAAAGAAGCCAAGCTCTTTCCCACCTGGATGATGTTGTACAGGTGGTATCTTCACCTTGGAATACATTTTTCCCTACCCTTCATGAAAGTGGCTTCTCTCATCATTTCCTATACGATATTTCTTCAAAAAGTTCTTCCTCATCACCTAAACAAAAGTAGGCATTGCCCATCTCAGGTCCTTGTTTATTTCCTCCATAGCACCTATCAAAACTTGACTATTTTTTTGTTCAAGTCTGTTTTACATCGATTTCTCTCACATGTTTGAGGACAGGGATGTGTTCACCATAGTACTTCAAGTGCCCAGCACAATGCCTGACACAAAACAGATGTTCATTATACACCAAATGAATGTGTTGCATATTTAACTGTGTTTCTATATTCAAGGACAGAACTCAACAAAAATTGATTTTTTTCAATCAATCTTCTATTGTTGGATGTTTAAATTACATTTCCCTAGAGAATAAACCAAAAGTTAATTAAAATCTAAAAAGTAGAAAGAAAAAAGTAAACATTTTAGAAAAACACGCCGAATCGATAAAAGATAAAGAGCTGAAAAATCTTCCCATGATGTAGTTGCAAAATGTTCTGCCAAATCTGATTTGGTCTAAATTCTTCTATTGACAAATTTGCTTTTGCCTAAATTGATTTAAGTCCATTAGCTAAAGCTGATTCAGTTATCCAAGGTGGATTCTGAGTTAATTTTAAGGCTATAGAAAGGATAAGCAGAGAACTTCACTTAGGATTGGATCTAATTCTTGAAAGATGTTTAGCTCTTGTGTTCTTATATCCTTCAGTTAGGCATTCATTTACTGAGTCAGTCAACAAATATTTTCTTGCGTGCCTTCCATGTGCTAGACACTATACTAGGAGCAGAGGTCAACAAGATAGACAGGATTCCTGGGCTTCTGGGTCTACATGCAAAAGGGAGACCGTCAACAAGGAAGCACATAAATAAGCACAATAATTTCAGATAGTGATTCAGTGCTCTGAGAAAATACAACAGCAAAATGTGATAGGTGGTGGAAGGACACTGTCAAGTCACTGGTTGGAGGAACCTTCCCAGAGAAAACAATACTTAACCAGAAGCCATGGTTACTAAAAGGAACCAGCAAGGCCACAGTGGGGCTTAGAGGCCTTCAGCCCGACAAGGTGATTTCCCTCCTTCCAACTCCCCACATAATTAAAAATTTTTTAAACCAACCAAGGCTAAAAGAAGTGTAAAGAATGTCAACAAAGTCCTGATCCTTCCACTTGCCCAAGATGACTACTTGGATATTTTAGGGGAAATATCTTAGAATCAAATTTGTTCCAAAATATTTCTCATGTTTAGGGCACTTTACTGATTCTTCAAATATACATCTAATCTTTTTAATAAATCATCCAGCATTTGGAGCCATCCATGCAAAAATGTGAGGAAAGAGTGTTCCAGGAAGAGGGAGGAGCAAATGCAAAGGCTCTGAGAGCTTGATGCATATAGGCTATGGGTCAAATACAGTGTTACCGGAACATAGCCATGCCCATTCTTCGAGTATTGTCTGTGTCTACTTCCACCCTCACAACGGCCCTGAGAGTGACTGTTTTGTTTCCTGAGGCAACTCATTTGCTTTACCCTAGTGCAGCTTATCACTGCAATACACCCACCCAACAGACACCATATTGGGCAAAGCCTAAAATTCTTACTACATCAACCATTAAAGAAGAAGTCTGTCTATCCCTGGGTTTTATTTAATTAATGTTTTCTTATGAAATGAGGTCAGTAGCCATTGGGGAATTTTCAGCTGTGGAGGGAGCACGCTTTCTTTTTCCTTTGTGAGAAGGTGAGTTTGGCAGCTGTGTAGAGAACATGTGGGAAATGGGCATGATGGAGACGCTGCAGGAATTTTGGCTGTGTTGCAGCGAGATACGAGGACTTGGCCTTACCCAGAACAGTAAGTAGCAAGTCTCCTGAAGGCTCAGCCCTTCTGTAGCTATAACAAGATAGGCTTATTTCTCTCCTCAAAGGGCTCTAAGTATTCTTCTGCACAGGGTCCAGTTCTTTTCAGTAGAAAAAAAGATGCCTTTTGAGTTTTGCCATCCAATTAAATCATCACATTTGAGAGGCTTTTGATGCACTTCTGCCCAACTTCAGGCCATCCCAGGAACCTCCAGAACTTCAATATATCATTGAGCTCCCAGAAGCTTTGAGAGTCCCCTAAGGAATGAACTGTGGGTAATGGTGTCATTCTCTAGCCCCACCTGGTGACAAGCTGCTCAGAATCCCAAAGGCTAACGGCAGAGTTCTGGTGCTGTGCCCCGGCTGTGGGCCTTATCACAGGGCACAAAGGCTTCTGGGGCTTTGCTTATATGCCTACCTGTGTGGGCTTCCCTGCTCACGAGCCGAGACTTCGTCCAAAGCAGGCCTGCATCTCACTGGTGGGATCCACAGGTACGGGGCCTCCTTTCTCTAACTGGAGAGCTCGGAGTCTGCCACCTGTCTGGTGGTTGTCTTGTGTCCCTCTGCATCTGCTTTCTTCTGAGTATTGACCCCTACCGGGAAGGGAAGGGGAGTGGGGCTGTGAAAGCTGATGCAGACCACAGTTTTTGACAAAACATCCTTGATTGATCTAGTGTGGCTGTTCCTGCCATCTTTTTTTTTTTTTCACTCTCAGTATAGCTGTATTTAAGGTTTCATTCAATTTTTAAAAAATAAATTGCTTTCCTCAAATCATTGTAGATTTGAGTTGGACTCTTCAGTGTGGGGACTGCCCAAAGGTGCCTTTGTTTTAGAGGTCTGAAGGCAAATCAGATGAGGATAGAGTCCAGAGGCACTGGAAAATAATATTAATAACAAAAAAGAATCCTTTATAGAATGCTTTCAGCTATGTGAAGGAAGGAAAGAAGGAAGGAAGGAAGGAAGGAAGGAAGGAAGGAAGGAAGGAAGGAAGGAAGGAAGGAAGGAAGGGAG